CGGGGGATCAGCCTGGAGGCTCGTCCTAAGCCGTCCCTCTGGGAGGCGGCATTGAACTTGGCGAAGCTGAGCTGCTCCTGATCGCGGCTGCTGGGGCCACTCACCAAGCTGCCCTTTCTGCCCCCGAGGAACACAGGGCAGAGCAAACAAGAGGCGTTTTACAAAGCGCATGTTGCGATGTGCGGACAGCGAGGCACACGGGCTGCGGGTCAGATGCAAGCCCTCAGGTGAGGGTCCCCGAGTGGCCGGGAACCCCCAGCGTCCGGGTGTGCAGGACGGCAAGGACCAGCCCCCTGATCGCTTAAGCCTCCCAGGATCATGGAAAACAATGGCTTTCCTTGGATTCGCCATGTAGCCTCAGGGCCACTGCGCACAGCTCCTGGGACTCAGCGGGGCTTGCTGGAGAAGGAATGATTGTTCTGAGCCTTAGAAAATGAGATTTTCCCACTTGAGTTTTCCCAGGAGCTTTTTGTTATCAGCTGCAGCAACTTTGCTGGAGAGCTGGCTGGCTATGTGTGCAAGCGCACGTGCCTGCATGTGCTGTGTGTGCGCGTGTGCATATGCGGGCGTGTTTAATACGGAGGCAGAGCAATCAGGTAGAAGCAGACTGTGTAACGGAAAGAATGGGTTTGAGAGTGAGACACACACCAGTCCAATGTGCTGAAGAGACGTCACTGAAATACTCTTTGCCTCACTTTCTTCAACTAAACGACTGGGGGCACCATGTCAACCCCTGGCCCAGACCCCAGGAAGTTTCCACGTGATGGCCTAGGTCAGTGGTTCTCAACCTTCCTAATGCCGCGACCCTTTAATACAGCTCCTCATGTTGTGGTGACCTCCAATTTCATTGTTACAAATGGAACATAATTAAAGCATAGTGATTCATCAGAAAAACAATATGTAATTATATATATGTTTTCTGATGGTCTTAGGCGACCCCTGTGAAAGGGTCGTTCAACCCCCAAAGGGGTCGTGACCCACAGGTTGAGGTCATGCCTGGTCTAGGTCATGCCTGCACGGGAGTTGGCTCACAGTGAGCACACGGATGTCCTCCCTCTCCTTGCATAGACACTTACATGACTAGTGGCCAAGGCTTTCGCCCAGGTGTGCAAAGAGAAGCCACGGCCTCAAGCAGCAGAAGGGCCCCCCAGAAAGGTGGGGCTCAGGGTAAAGTCAGAGGGGAGCAGGATGAAGGGACCTTGCAGGCTGTCTCGCCTGCTCATCATCCTGAGAGATTGATTACCTCTGATAGGCACGTCATCGCTAACACACCCAACTCCCCTCACGGTAGCCTTACCATAACTAACACACGCAACTCACCCACACAGGAGCCTTAACACACCCACCTCCCCCTCACGGTAGCCTTACCATCGCTAACACACCAAACTCGCCCACACGGTAGCCTTAACACACCCAGCTCCCCCTCATGGTAGCCTTAACACCCCAACTCGCCCACACAGTAGCCTTAACACCCCCATTTTACAGATGAGAAAACTGCTGAAGGCCAGTTTCAACAGTTTATCTCACGGAGGACCTGTGCCTGGCCCAGGGGACTGCTCTGGCCCAGGGGACTGCTCAAGGAATGTTTGCATCTTTAAAGAATGGCATGACCTTCAGTGTCTCAGGAGGCAGGCAGGAGGCCACTCTGGGAACTGAGGATCAGAGACATTGAGCAACTTGCCCTGGGTCACCCAGCAAGGAAATTATGGAACCAGGTCTGGCCCTCAAGTCTTCTCCACAGCATCCCATGGAGAGAGAAATGCTGACCAGCTCTTTGGAGGCGAGCTGCCCACAAAAACACAAAGGAAACCTCCGCAGATGAATGCTTACAATTCATTTCTCATGCAGTCACAGGCATGTAGGGGTGAGGTTTCCTGGTGTCTAAAACTTACTTTCCAGTGATTAAAGATAAAAGCGAACAAATGAAGGTTGGATCTAAGTGCAGGGCATTTGTTCATCTCACCACTGTTCTTTCAGCTTTGACATCAATTAAAAATTCCGTCGGTAAACAGTTGGAGACAATGCATGTCTCTCCCTTCTAGAAAGCCCTGGAGAGCTCCCCCTCCCCGGCAACACGCTGTTTAAGGGCTGCACATACTCAGACACTGGGAGTCCGTGAGCGGGGCCTCCGTTTCAGACCACAGCAGCCTCTGCCCCGCGTCATCCACACAGAAGGCCTTCCCACTGTCCCTGTCCCTCTGGCTGGCGCGGTACCGGCCGTCCTGGTCACACTGCAGGCCGGCCTCGCTCCTCTGACAGTCGGTGACGCCTGCAACCGAGAGATGGACACAACGCTGAACGGTCAATGGCGTGCCTCTGGGGTCCCCTCCCCCCAGATCCCAGGCTCCCAATCATTGATTAGACAGACAAGTCACATCTGAGCCACACACCCTCTAGCTCAAGCATGTGAAACTTGCGGCCGACGGGCCGCATACCTTGTTTAAATAAACGAGGCATGCGGTCGCCCGGCCGGCCGCGAGTTTGACATGCTTGCCTAGCTCATAACTCCTCAGTGACTCCGCCCTGACCCAAATATGATGTCCAGGCTCTCTGCTGGGCCACTAGACCCCTGAGGCCTGGCCCTACCCCTCTGGTTCTGCACAGGGGCCCCGAACTTCCTCGATTGCTGCATTCATCGCCGGGCGTGCACGCACCACCTTCAGTCGTACCATTTGCTCAAACCCAGGCCTTGCTCTGCAGCTTCTTCTTCTGGTGCTCAGCTCTCCCCAGTCTTCAGTGAGTTCACTCCTCACAGCTCATCAGCTTTCAAGTCAATCCTTACCCCCAGCCCAGGGGCAGCCTCCTAGCCCTTACGTCCCTCCTATCAACGCCCATCCTCACAGCATGGAGCACGGTCATTCCTCCCATTGGTCCATGTGAATGAGTGGTTGACCACTGTCTGCCTCCCACTCGGTAGAAGCTCCAAGAGGGCAGGGACCTGACCTGGTTTTTCTCCCTGTTGCATCCCAGCGTCTCCCGCACTGTGACACTGTGATTTCTAATTTAAAAATAGGGACATGCCTGCCCTAGCCAGTGTTCCTCAGTGGTCAGAGCATCAGCCGGCACACCCAGGGGTCTCAGGTTCAATTCTCGGTCAAGTGCACGTACCTGGGTTTCAGATTGGATCCCCACTCTTGGTCTATGTGTGTGCAGGAGGCAACCAATTGAGGTGTCTCTCTCATGTCCATGTTTCTCTCTCTCTCTCTCTTTCTCTCTCTCCCTCT